GAAGACTGTAAACCATACTTGCAACCGCACAGCTGCACAGCCGTGCAGTGCGGTACACCGCACGATGCGCTTAACCGTCCCGTGCGCCGCACCTGAAATAATCTCTGTTTTTCAACTTTTTTAAAGGTTTTTTTTTTTTCTGCTGTTTTCGTAGATACAGAAGAGTGTACTACCTTAGGAACAGATCCTGTTCAAGTACAGCCGTACAAATCTTTCTTTTTGTCTCACTGGCATCATAAATAGCCTCAAATAGGTCTTTGGGGCATCAGTCTCGACTGTTAAGAGGTGAAATTGCTCTTCCAGCCTCTGTTTTTTTTTGTTTTTTTTTTTCCGTCCTACAACAAATTTTCGAAGGGGGTGCAGGTGAACACTGATACAGGCCTGCGACCCCTTCTTTTCCGTGGTGGCTATTTCCCCGGTGCGCCACACCGGAACCGTGCGGCTTGTGCGCCGGACGTGCAGAATTGCCCGCACACCGTGCGCTTGCAAGTATGCTGTAAGCGTCATCACCGAGATGTTACATGCAAAGCCAGTGACTAAGTCTGGCTCTCAGAGAACTGCCTTGAAGATGAACTCAGTCTCACTTGCAAGCTGTGTGATAAAGGGCTCGGCCCGTAGCTCAGACTTCCCCTGTACATTGCAACCTTAAGCTATGGCCCAACGTGAAACATGAGTGCCTAGTTTTTGTAGGTGCCTCAATGGATATCATGTGCCTTCCGATATCCGCTGACCATCCTTATCCTAAACCACCCCTTATCATGATGGCCACACTCTTCCGGTCTGCTGTAGAAGCAATCATAAGATTTGGCACCCCCCTGTTACATGCACAGATATGTGATGTTTGGAATAACCAAGGAACTGCAATGTGACGAAAAGGACTGAAATGGACAATGCGGTGAGAGTAGAATCTCGACAGACAATGTGCATTCTCATACATACAAAAGTGCTGAATAGCGCAGGGAAGACTTAGATACAAAGACTGACCTGACAAGGACTGACCTTACACACGTAGTAGCAAGTAGCGAAACAGACTGCTAGAATGTTGATAGCTAGTCCAACCGATGGTTGAACTCAGACCAAACATGCATCGTACCCCTCACCAGGTGTGAAGGAGCCTGGCGCTGCACACAGGAAGAAAGCGCCAGGTCCAGACATGCATAGACGAAGAGGTAAGGATCAGACGAAAGGAGGGAGGAAGATGGGAGTGTCCTTAACACCAAGTCTTTGTCACCGATCCCAAATAACCCCTCGTTGTCAGGTCTGAATCCCAAAAAGTCGAGTCTTGGATCYGATATCACCAAGCTCGGTATCTCTTCTCTCGCAGTCTGCAAATGCAGTGAAGTCAAGGGTTGAGAGGGAGAGAAGGAGATGGTGGACTGAGAAGAAGAGGAAGAAGGACTCTCTCTCTCTCACTGTTACGAACCAGGTACTAACCTGTGATGTGGCGCTGTGCTGCAGGCACCTTGAAGACGAAGCTGGAGCAACGGCGCTGCAGGTAGGTACCCCTGGCCTCCGCCCAAGCTCTCTCTCTCTCTCTCTACCACTATCCTAGCTATGGCGCCCAGCGCCGAAGGCTACTAGCTAACACTACCACTACTATAACGCAGCGCTCCCTCCAGAGGGCTGCTCCCGAATCCTGAAGACTACAACTGCCGACTGCCTTTCCTCCTGTAGGGCGGGCCAGTCCTTTATAGTGCTGGCCCGTGCAGGAGGCTGGTCGTGCCAATGCCCTATG